CTGTGTGTGTTACTGTGTGTGTTACTGTGTGTGTTACTGTGTGTGTTACTGTGTGTGTTACTGTGTGTGTTACTGTGTGTGTTACTGTGTGTGTTACTGTGTGTGTTACTGTGTGTGTTACTGTGTGTGTTACTGTGTGTGTTACTGTGTGTGTTACTGTGTGTGTTACTGTGTGTGTTACTGTGTGTGTTACTGTGTGTGTTACTGTGTGTGTTACTGTGTGTGTTACTGTGTGTGTTACTGTGTGTGTTACTGTGTGTGTTACTGTGTGTGTTACTGTGTGTGTTACTGTGTGTGTTACTGTGTGTGTTACTGTGTGTGTTACTGTGTGTGTTACTGTGTGTGTTACTGTGTGTGTTACTGTGTGTGTTACTGTGTGTGTTACTGTGTGTGTTACTGTGTGTGTTACTGTGTGTGTTACTGTGTGTGTTACTGTGTGTGTTACTGTGTGTGTTACTGTGTGTGTTACTGTGTGTGTTACTGTGTGTGTTACTGTGTGTGTTACTGTGTGTGTTACTGTGTGTGTTACTGTGTGTGTTACTGTGTGTGTTACTGTGTGTGTTACTGTGTGTGTTACTGTGTGTGTTACTGTGTGTGTTACTGTGTGTGTTACTGTGTGTGTTACTGTGTGTGTTACTGTGTGTGTTACTGTGTGTGTTACTGTGTGTGTTACTGTGTGTGTTACTGTGTGTGTTACTGTGTGTGTTACTGTGTGTGTTACTGTGTGTGTTACTGTGTGTGTTACTGTGTGTGTTACTGTGTGTGTTACTGTGTGTGTTACTGTGTGTGTTACTGTGTGTGTTACTGTGTGTGTTACTGTGTGTGTTACTGTGTGTGTTACTGTGTGTGTTACTGTGTGTGTTACTGTGTGTGTTACTGTGTGTGTTACTGTGTGTGTTACTGTGTGTGTTACTGTGTGTGTTACTGTGTGTGTTACTGTGTGTGTTACTGTGTGTGTTACTGTGTGTGTTACTGTGTGTGTTACTGTGTGTGTTACTGTGTGTGTTACTGTGTGTGTTACTGTGTGTGTTACTGTGTGTGTTACTGTGTGTGTTACTGTGTGTTACTGTGTGTTACTGTGTGTTATTGTGTGTGTTACTGTGTGTGTTGTGACCTCAGGTGTCTCAGCCGGAGGTGAGTCCAGCTCGTCGCCCCGCCCCAGAGGAAGAGGACGATGAAGACGAGTCTCACTTCTCTGAAGGACAGCTGGTCCCGGCGAGCTCTCAGTCCTGCTCTGATGATTCTGAAATCTCTGAGGACATAATCCAAGGTGAGGACATTATTATTGATTGTCAGAATTACTTCCAGTGATCAATAAAAACATGTTGTTGTAGCTGTGTTCCTGTTCAGACCCTGAGCTCTGTCTTACAGGTGCAGATGTTTCCTGAGCAGAACTCACATAAATACTGAATGAGCTGCCAATAGTGTTAAAATGTTAATGACAGTGAACACCTCTCTCTGTCTCTCCCTCCCTCCCTCCCTCTCTCTCTCTCTGTCTCCCTCCCTCCCTCCCTCCCTCCCTCTCTCTCTCTCG